CTGGCTGGGGAATTCTGGGAGTTGAAGTCCGCCCATCTTCAAGCGGCCAAGGTTGAGAAACACTGCTCTAATCCCACATTCCCTTTTTTTCCTCCTGCCCCCCGTAAGCCCCCCCAATGGCTCCAGACGATGGGACCGAGTGGCTTCTGCAGCTGCTGAGTGAAATCCAGCTGGAACAGTTTTACACCAGGATCCGAGATGAGCTTCACGTCACCCGCCCGGGCCATTTTGACTACGTCAAGCCCCTTGACCTAGACCGCATTGGCATGGGGCGCCCAGGTGAGGGGGCACTTGCATTGCCGGACAGGGTTGGAGGGTGCTGGCAGGGGGCAGGAACTGAGGAGTCTGCTCAGAGACTCCGCATCTCACAAGCCTGCCAGGCTTTCTAGTCCTCATGAACTGCCGAGAGAAAGGCTGGGGAGGGCGCACGGTATCAAAGGAGGATGGAACAGGAGTCAGTGGGGCTGAAGATGGGCATATGTCCATTTAAACTAAATATATAAGTCTCCCCTTTCCGAGAGCGGGTAGCAGGTGGGAAAGACACCGGCTTTCCTTCTTTTCTGCCCAGCCGTGAGACCGCCAAGCCATTAAGTCACCCGTCCAGGCAAAGTGCTTTGCTTTGCAACGCAACATTCGTTTGGGCGAGAACTCGGTTTTCCTGGCCTGAGGAATCACCCCACCTCTTGCCACCTTCTCTTGCAGGGCAGCGTCGACTCGAAGAGGCCTTGAAGCGCAGGAAGGGCCAAGGCCAAGGCCAGCGGCCCAGGTCCTGGGTCTACAAGGTGGGTGCCCTGACCCTCCCGCGAAGAGACAGGCGGGGGGCTTTACGCGGCACGCCTGCCGAGGCATTTCTGCTGCAGCAAGCCGTGGGAAGCCAGCGGTTCTCTCGCGCAGCTTCTGGGGAGCTGAACACGGGGGGATGGATTTGGTCACGGCGAGTTTGAGGAGTGGGAGAAGTGACACAACAGTGTGGTTGTGCTGATGAGGCAGATTGTGGAATTTGCACAGGCAAGTGACCCAAATCCTGTAAACCGTGTCATTTGCCCGTGAGCTTCTGAGTTTGTCACGTGCAAGACGCCACCACAGGACGCTAGCGGTGAGCAAGGCAGCAGCGTTTGTTGGATTTAAGATCTTGTGCGAACCCCCTTTGCTTTCCCCTGTAAGCCCCCTAAGCTCCTCAACCACAGTGGCTTGATTTCCCTGGTTGCTGGTTGAAATATGACCTTCCTGACTGCACTTTAGGAAGAGGTTTAGAATACATTGATTAGCTTTTGTGTATCATTATTGCTGTGTTGCTGTTGTTGTTCCTTAAGAGACTGTTGGAGGGTGGAGGCCACTGAAATCCCAAGTTAAATCTGATTTTATTTTGCTTACCGAATCTGAGTCTGGACTTCACTCTTGTTTAATGGACGAGTCTGCTGATTCCAAATGTTGTTTGGCCAAATGCCATACAGATTTAGCAGACTTGTCTGTTAAATAGGGCTGAAGCCTGGACTCTGCCTCGGTCTGTTGCATCCAAAGTCTGCTGAATGGAGGTCTGTTAAATTCTCTGTTGCGCTGTTACTTTCCAACTCCGTTGGCGAAGTTTTCCCGTGTCTCAGAGCAGCCCAGAGCTGTCAGGAGGGGCCACAAGAGCGCCTTGATTCTCCCGCAGGCAGCTATGGCTGCTCCGGTGCTTAGCGCCATTGTGAGGGGCACCAGCCTGATGTTGTCTCTTTCTCTTTCTTGCTCCTCCCAGATGTTCACAGGAGGGCGAAGTCCAGAAAGCGAAGAAACGCTGAACTCCCAGCCCTCGGCTGCTCCCCGGCTGGATACGGACGCCTCCCTCAAATGCTTGATCAGCGAGTGGGATCTCCAGCTCTGCGAGCGGCTGGGGGACGGCTGCTTCGGGGTCGTGCACCGTGCGGAGTGGCACGCTCCTGGGGGGGCCCTGGTAAGCGCCTGGCCTGCTCGCCCGTCAGCCGCTAAGCCAAGGGGGCACTGGCTTTGCTCACGGCTGACCTCCCTAGGTGTGCCTGTCATTACAACCCAGACTGGCTCAACAAAGAATTAAAAGCTTGGCGAAAGAGGGGGCCTTTTGCTGTGTCATCCTCAATCCTGGGGGGCCATTGTATTCTGCACCTGGGGGGGCCGCTCAGGAGAAGGACCTTCCTGCCTTTCAGAAGGGCCTCTGCAGATCGGAGTAGCCAAGCAGATTCAGAGCAGGAAAGGGGACCTGCAGGTAACCCAACCCTTTAGGGCTTTAAAGGAAAGCAGTGCACAGTCGGCAACTAGCAGCCAAAGAAGGCCTTTCAGCACACAAGAATCACATGATTCCAGGCCCTTGCACTGGTCAGCAGTCTGGCCACTGTATTTTGCACCAATTGCACTTTCCAGACCTTTCCCTGTGTCAACTCTGCTGCAGTGCCCCATGCCAAGGAGAACAAGAGTTGGTGCCCGCCTAGTTTGCCTCTGGCCTCTCAGAGATGGCGTGCTTTGTGTGTTGTTAGAGCAGGAGGCTTCAACTCCCCCTTCCGGGTCTTCCTTCCCTCTCCCAGATCCCCGTGGCCGTGAAGACGCTGCGGTCAGACGTCTCCTCCGATCCAGGGGCGCTGATTGACTTCCTCAATGAGGTCAACGCCATGTGCTGCCTGGACCACCCCCATCTCCTCCGCCTCCATGGCGTGGTGCTCACCCAGCCCCTCAAGATGGTAAGGGGGGGGCAAATCTTTCAGCATCCTTCCAAACTTCCTGGGTGTCTGAACAGCCGGAGGGTTCGGGAGTCCTGGACGTGTGTGAGCAAAGGACATGAGTGCGAAGATTCTTTAGTTGGGTTCGCACAACATGTGCAACCCGGCCAGTGAAGGATCGAGGGCTGCATTTGCACACCTTTACCCTGGTGAATTTTAAGCCTTTCTTTTTCCCAGCGGCTTAGCCTGCTGAGTTATTCTGGGGTTCAGCCTACGGCGGAAAGGGCCCGGCCACCACTAATCCTTTCTCCTGGCAGGTAACGGAGTTGGCCACGCTGGGTTCTCTGTACGACCGCCTCCACCCTCCGTTTCCCCTGCACCAGCTCTGGAGCTACGCGGCTCAGGTCGCGGGGGCCATGGCCTACCTGGAGTCCAAGCTCTTCATCCATCGGGACCTGGCCGCCCGCAACATTCTCCTGGTCTCCGAGGAGCATGCCAAGATTGGAGATTTTGGCCTCATGCGGCCATTGTCCAGCAAGAGTGACCGCTACGTCATGTCAGCCCACCGGCGCATCCCGTTCGCCTGGTAAGGCTTCTGCTTCACCACCACCACTGCCCATGGAGGCTGGGAGGTTGTAACGCTCCTTCCCCTTCTCCTTACGCTGTTGCTGGCCCCTCAGCTGGCATGAGGACTAGAGTCTTGTCGAGGCCTGAGTGAAGGAACGTAGCACCCCAGGATTTAAGGGCACGATCTGGGCTTGGGCCCGTGAAACATTGGTGTGTCCCTGAGCATCCCGGTGCAGAGCGTGCCCCAGCCATCCCCTCGCCTACCCTTTCGCAAACCTCGGGGGGTGTGGGGAGAGAAGCTTCCTTTCGCTTTCTGCTCAGAACTAATCTCCGTCTGCGAGTTTCCATCCTGAGTGATGATGGCAGCAAGTTCTCAGCTTCCTTTTTTCCTCCAGCAATCCAGATTGGGTGACTTTCACCCTGCAGAACTGCCCAGCGGGAGAAATCTGCAGCACGTTCCAATTGGATGGAGTGTTTTGCCTTTTGCTCTCCTGCGTTTGCAAATCTGACTTGGCGTTTGCTGGCAGAAGAGCTAAGCACTTCTAACCTCTCACTTTTGCCTCCCAAGCCAACCCCTAACCCCTAGCCCGAGAAGGAAGCCCGCCCAGTTGACCGGCTCCTCCTTGCCATCTTTCCAGGTGTGCCCCAGAGAGTCTGCGCCTGGGCATCTTCACCAGCGCCTCTGACGTCTGGATGTTTGGAGTCACCCTCTGGGAGATGTTTTCCTACTGCGAAGAGCCCTGGATGGGTTTGACCGGGAGGCAGGTGAGACCAAGGCCCGGGGGTGGCACATTTTGCCAGTGCAGAAGCCTGTGTGGGGGAAGATGGGAACTGTAGTCTAAGACATCTGGAGGTCATCAGGTTGGCCTGTTCAGAGGCAGTGTGCTTTCCCTACTGATGCTGGGGGAACAGCTGCTTTTCCGGGGGGTCTGCACACGGCATGGTCGAAAAAGTCAAAATGGTGGCTGCAACTGTGCAAACAAAGCTCCACCTGTTTTTCATGTGCATCACATGTGCAATGCCCATAAAAATGGGCAGAGGTTTGATCACAGCTGCCATCTTGACTTTCTGAGTTCTTGCAGGTCTCTGGGTGGCCCCTAAACCTGAAATGTGGGGGGGCTTTTTTCCCTTCCTTCCTCCCAGATCATGATCAAAATAGACAGAGAAGGTGGGCGGCTCGAAAGGACTGATGATTGTCCGAGGGGCATCTACTCTCTGGCCCTGAAATGCTGGGCCCACAACCCCGAGGAGAGGCCGAAGTTCCGGGACATCGTCCACCTGTTGCAGGAGGTGAGCGGGAGGCCGTGTTCACACAACACCGGCAAGGGGGTGGGGAGGGAGGTCTCTCTTTGGCGCCAGGAGGCCGTCCTTGAGACAGAAGGATGTGGGTCCCCCATCTGGGGAGCAGCTGTCCCGCTGGTGACTGCCAGGTGGTTGGGCATCGGGCCATTCGTGGCTCAGTCACAGCATTTCTCAACTTAGGGCCTTCCAGATGTGTGGACTTCAACTCCCAGAATTCTCAGTGGCGGCTATGCTGCTGCTGCTGCTGCTGCTGCTGGTGGTTCTGGGAGCTGAAGTTCACACATCTAGAAGGCAGGTGGCTTGCAAGACCCTGCAGCAACCAGGTTAATCTGTGTTTATCTGAACACCACTGGGAAAAAAGAAGAAAAGCACAGTTTCCTAAGCTGATACCCTACTGTTGCTCTATAAAATGAACCCAAGGGTACCCGTCTCCTCCTCTGCCTTAGCACGTGTTAAGAAAAGAGCAGAGTTTGATCCTACAGTCATGGACCCCACCTTGACTTTCCTGCTTGACTTTCCTGCGGACCTTCCTCCCCATTCTTCCTTTGCACGGCATTGCCAGAAAGGCGATCCATCTACTTCAGCTGGAATCAGCCTTTCCCTGGATCCCAGGCCGTTGAAAAGCCTTGGCAGAAAGGCTGATACGCTGTTGGTATTGGGGCCCAGGGCCACGCTCAGAAAGGGGGGGGGGTTGGATACAGACGTGGCTGCAAGCAAGCCGAGGTGGGATTTCCTTTGACTTAACCCTCGTTAAAATTACATGAATTAAACACAGTGACTGTTACTCCTCCCTCTGCATTGCGTTATCTCATGCTTTCTGTTGCATTCGGAATTAAAATTGGTGTGGTTTTGGGAAGGGCTCTGGGGGCCTTGCCGAAGGATTGGGGAAGGCAGGAGCCAGAGGGGGCTCCCCTGGGGATCAAGCATCCCCTCCAGCGGGGGGGTTGGCAGGATGTGGTCAAAAAAGGTGTCAGTGGCCACAACAGTGCGACAGAAGCTTCGCAGGCCGAGCTCCAGTTGCACCCGCTTGGGTGCCATCTTGACTTTTTTGACCACGCCCCACCGACAGAACCCTTTCCGAGGTTCTCAGTCACACTTCTGCACCTCTTTTTATCGCAGGTCCGTCCCAAAGAGGTGAAGGCCTCCCGCAGCTTGAGTGATCCCGGGTGGCTGAGGGTGGAAGTGAACGACGTGGTCACGATTATCGAAGGCAGGTGAGTGAGGATGCCCGGTTCTCTTTGGGAGAAAGGGAGGGGCCTGCTCTCATCCAGCCCCCCCCCCATGACATAGCCTCCCTGTCCTTCAGCTCCATCCGACTCCTGCTCCACTCCTGCTTTTCAAGTTTCTAGTCCTCAAAGTCTGACTCGCCTCTTCTCTTCTGGTGCCTTCTTGCATCTGTTCCTAGAATCGTAGGAGGGAAGGGCTGGAGCGGGTTGTTGTTGTTCAGTCGTTAAGTCATGTCCGACTCTTCGTGGCCCCATGAACCATATTGC